AAACCTAAACCTAAACCCTAAACCCTAAACCCTAAACCCTAAACCCTAAACCCTAAACCCTAAACCCTAAACCCTAAACCCTAAACCCTAAACCCTAAACCCTAAACCCTAAACCCTAAACCCTAAACCCTAAACCCAAACCCTAAACCCTAAACCCTAAACCCCTAAACCCTAAACCCTAAACCCTAAACCCTAAACCCTAAACCCTAAACCCTAAAACCCTAAACCCTAAACCCTAAACCCTAAACCCTAAACCCTAAACCCTAAACCCTAAACCCTAAAACCCCTAAACCCTAAACCCTAAACCCTAAACCCTAAACCCTAAACCCTAAACCCTAAACCCTAAACCCTAAACCCTAAACCCTAAACCCTAAACCCTAAACCCTAAACCCTAAACCCTAAACCCTAAACCCTAAACCCTAAACCCTAAACCCTAAACCCTAAACCCTAAACCCTAAACCCTAAACCCTAAACCCTAAACCCTAAACCCTAAACCCTAAACCCTAAACCCTAAACCCTAAACCCTAAACCCTAAAAACCCTAAACCCTAACCCTAAACCCTAAACCCTAAACCCAAACCCTAAACCCTAAACCCTAAACCCTAAACCCTAAACCCTAAACCCTAAACCCTAAACCCTAAACCCTAAACCCTAAACCCTAAACCCTAAACCCTAAACCCTAAACCCTAAACCCTAAACCCTAAACCCTAAACCCTAAACCCTAAACCCTAAACCCTAAACCCTAAACCCTAAACCCTAAACCCTAAACCCTAAACCCTAAACCCTAAACCCTAAACCCTAAACCCTAAACCCTAAACCCTAAACCCTAAACCCTAAACCCTAAACCCTAAACCCTAAACCCTAAACCCCGGGCTGGAAGCGCTCGTTGCGAGCGTTTTTCTTCCACCGGGTCACGTGAGTGTGCTTGCCTGGGCCTATTGCCAAGCCAGCAAGGGCGTGGGAGGGTTGCAAGCATCATCGGTCATCGGCGCTCGCGAATGAAGAGCGTCCGCTGCACTTCCTGCACATGTGCGGATCCTTCCGCGCTTTGTTGCTGGAAGTGTTCGTTCCTAGTGCTTTTCTTCCGTCTGGTCACGTGGCTGCGCTTATCTGGCCTATTACCAAGCCAGCAAGGGCATGGGAGGTTGAGAGCATCATCGGTCATCGGCGCTTGTAAATAAAGAGAGCGCGCTGCACTTGCTGCACATGTGCAAATCCTTTCGCGTTTTGGGGCTGGAAGCGCTCGTTCCGAGCGTTTTTCTTCCGCCAGGTCACGTGGCTGCGCTTGTCTGACTCTATTATCAAGCCAGCAAGGGCGTCAGAGGGTTGCGAGCATCATCGGTCATTGACCCTCGCAAATGAAGAGTGCCCGCTGCATTTCCTGCACATGTGCGGATCCTTCCGCGTTTTGGGGCTGGAAGCGCCCGTTCAAGAGACGATGTAATCTAAGCCGTCCATGTAGAGAGTAAAATTTGGACCGTTGGATTCTAAAAACCTCCATTTTGGTTCACGTGCGTTGCGTTCATTGGCGTAATGGCAGCTTGCTTGCTTTAGGAAATAAACAAAGTATAATTATAGTGAACAAATCATATGGAGTTTCACACCTTTTTAGGGTATTCGGTCTGAAAAGCAAGACGGCAACATGGACGAAGTTAAAATAAAACGGTCTGATGTTCAGACGGGCTCAAATACTAAAGTTGTCCCTGGTGACATGCCGTATGAGGGCGTGCTGCAGATGCATGAGCGATGGTGGGTGGGGACATGAGTGGGATGAATATTGCAGGAGTGCAGGGAGAAGCATGCCCTGTTCTCCTCACATCACGCAAAGACATTCTCCTCCAGCAGCTCTTTCCCAGTGATACCCGGCTGTAGTGCTGCGAAGAAAGGCTCGGTGTCACATGGAGTGGGTGGGTTGCTGGGGTCCACGGTGAATGGCTCACTGAACGGCACAGTGCTCTTCACCTGCAACACCACCATACACACAGACACCGCAAAGAATATTACATCAGAGCGTACCACTGCAAACAGCGCAAGACCACCTGCTAACATGCCACAAAGCTGCCACAACACGTGGGTTCGTGAGAACTCCCAATCCCCTCCATGCTCATGCAGGAGGCGCCCTCCATGCTCCGTGCTGGAAAAGAACCTTGCAGTGGTGGTGATAGTGTGGGGCTGTAGGTGCGTGCGCACCACCGTACCTCAAATGTCCTGTTGGCAGCAGCAGGTGATGACAGAGCCTCCACACAGATCCGAGCCACCTCCGCCCTTCCAATCTTGCCCTGCCAGCACGGCAGTGCGTACAAGAGCACATGGCAAGAAGGGCGGATGACATCTGTTGAAAGGGCTGAACAGCTCAGCAACAAATCACCATAGGAATCAAATACAGCCATGGCACGAAGGCAAAGGTTGGGAGAAGAGGTTGAAAAAGTTGAGGCGAATCTGAATCTGGGCACCTTGTGTGCCTTTTGTGGCCTCCTCCCGACACTTATGTGCGTGAGTGGCACAGCATGGGGACCAACGACGTGCAGCAGGGCTGGAGGACAACGTAGCAAGGGCGACCAGGACTTGGACTGCACACTGCATGTCATGCGATCCAAGGTACTCCCATCAACGTCACCACCACAACCTGCACCTGCTGGGCTTTAGGCTTCCGCACAGGTGGTGAGCCTGGCCCATTGTATTCTGCATGCTTCCCAGCGTGTACCATAGCGCACTAGAGGCAGCACTCGTACAGGCAGGTGCTAGCCAGGGCCGGTAGCTTTATGTCCCGTAAGAACCTGCAGGACATGTCAGGGTGTAACCATTGTGGGATGCTGAAAGCCTGCACTCAGGGCTTAAGGTGTAGGGTTTGCCACACGCAGAAACCCTAAACCACATGACTTACCCAGCATGCGGACGCCCCATAGATGGCAGTCTGCCACAAGCCCCAGTTGGTGAGTTCCCTTGGCACACGGCACACAGCGTGGCTCACCGTGATGTTGTCCCCCTGGTCAAAGAGCAGAGGCGCGCCCACCGGCTCCTCTGTGAGGGCGCACGGGCGCACGACGGTGAAGGGCAGCCCGCTGGCGCGCACGAGGTCCTCCCCACGCAGCTTCCACGTGAGGATGCCCCCCAGCTCATCGTTCATGCGCACTGCTGGCGGCTGCCGCGACAGGTCCAGCCCCGGACGCTTGGGGCGCGTCACCCCCGCCGACCCCACGTGCACTATCCTGCAGGCACAAAGTGCCACGCACACGGACAGACGGCAGTGGCGCAAGCACATGCAGCACGGCTGAAACGCTGTGTAGGGGTCAAGAAACCTAGTACATGAGGTGAGCAAAGCAGTGGGAGACGAAGAAGGATGGAAGGAGGAAGTGCAGCGCACCTGGGCAATGGTGAGGGGTCTGATGGATAGGCAGCGATGGAAGTGAGTGGCAGGGTGAAGGGGCCAGGCGTGAAGGAGGGGTTGAGGCGACCGTCATACTCAAACTTGCTGAGCATGAGCTGCCACACACGGGTGCAGGATGGACAATTGCAGTCAAGAATTCACCAAGCTACAAGATGAAACATTGACTTGACCCAGGAAGGACACTGGGAGTGAGCAACCGGCAGTACCTGAGGAAGCAGAGAAGAGAAGAAGAGAAGATGGAACGAGAGGGACATGCAGAGGAAATCAAAACAGCTTGCACTGCATTGGGGCATAGGATTATCAGTGTGTCAGCATAGGGGTAACTATGAGGACAAATGGTTACTGTTGAGGGCGTAGAGCAAACTGGGACAAGGAATTACCTGCAGTGAAGCAATATTGGAGGTGTCGAGGGGAGGAGCTCCAGGCACAGTGCGCGCTCGGAAGACAGGAGCAAAGGAGGAGAAGGGCAGGCGGACCTGCAGGCAGGGTGATCCATGGCGGAGGGGCTGTCATTGGTGGTGCATGCGGGTGCGGGGATGTGCATGGCGAGACAGCAGGCGCGAAGCAGCGAGTGCACATGGTGCATGGCATGGCAGTGCTCCAGCACAGGGCCTTGCGCCTCACACCCACAGCGCTGTGCCGTGTGAGCCCCATGCCGTGCCATGGGGTGCAATGGTAGGCGTGCATCAAGGGAAGAGCAGGGCAAGGGAGGTGGAGTGCGGCAGGCGGGTCTCACGGTGTGCCAGGTGCCAGCGAGGGTGTCGAAGCTGGCAGTGTAGCCCAGGGCGTCCCACGCTGCGGTGGTGCGCAGGATGAGCTTGTAGCGCTGCCCGTCCCCACGCACACGCACCTCCAACCCCTCGTACGCTGACAGGTCCAGGGGCGGTGACAGGTTCTGTGCGTGCACGTGCGTGCACACGGTGTACGTGACAGTGTGTGTGCCCATGTGAGTGCGTGAGGTGAGGTGGAGGGGAGGGTTGGTGTGAGGTCGGGGTGGAGGAGATGAGTGAGGCACGGTGTGGTGTGGCACAGTGGGGTATGCATGGCGGCCTTGAGGCACAGCACATGGATAGACGGCAGGTTACAGCATGGAGGGTCAGAGGGCGCAATGGAGGGTTAGAGTGCATGATGGAGAATCAGAGCGTGTGATGGAATTTGAGAGTGTGTGATGGAGTGTGAGTGTTTGTGAAAGAATGTGAGTGCGATGGAGCGTGAGAGCCACCTGCCTTGGTGCGCACACTGACAAAGCCACCGCTGTTAGCTGTGGACACTGTGCCTGTACACGCAAGGAGCAGCGGGAGACACATACACGTGCTGGCGGAGAGTCAGGGACCAAGGGCCAAAGCGCCAGTGGAAAGCGTGGTGCACAGCACAGGGACGAAGCAGGGAGCGCGAGGGAACCACATGGCGTTACCTGTGAAGAGAGCAGCAGGCAGGCCCCCCTCCCCTGCCGTCTTGTCATACTGCAGGGCACTCTCACTCACTCCCCCCATCACCACGTCATCCAGTGCGCCCCACAGCGCCCCCACTGGCTCTCCGCTGTCTGCGTGGGCCACAGAGAGGGACGGCCGGCAGAGAAGGAAGGGCGGGAGAGAAGCAAGAGAGGCAGAGAA